CAGCAGGGATGGAAATATCAAAGTACAGTGATGAGCATATGATTTCGCGTTGTGTTTCAGTCGCCCACTGGTCCATGTGATCAGTTGCTTTGCTTTCGTCGTGTGTAGATCCACGAGGGGTAGTCAGAGGGTTGCTGAAATTCAAAACTGAGTGATTTACAAGACAGAGGAATAGCCACAGTCAGATCTGAACTCTAGCCCCTGTAAATCGTTGTGGACTCTGGATGGCATCATTGGTAGTAAAGGGCGCCTTGACAGCGCTCCAATTCACGCCCCTTTCTTTTCCCATTTCCCAATCCGGTTGGGAAAACAGTAGGTGGGATGGGATAGGAGAGGGTTCTGCATTGGAAGAGGAGATAGGTGAGGAGGAGGCCTGGAGTCACATTTGCGAAAAGTTTTCCACGTGATTATGTGCCACTCAACTCAACAGTTCGAAGTTCAGAGACTGGTGAAGCGCAAAGAGTGTATCACGCCTGGAAATTCCTTGATCTTGCGCCAACATGTCGCCCCAGGCCGACTGAATCTCCGAAAGCAGGCATCGGCATCTAAAACTATATGAAGCGAAGCTGCTGTCATAACTTTCTTTGTCTCTTTGCTTTGTAGGGGATTCGATGGCAGGCGGACAGGGTTAAGTAGTCATGTTAGCCATTGTAGCCGTGTTTCACAGCAAGCTAAGATGGCGCCTAGTGGTCTACGCGCAGGGTTGCGGTCAGGAGATCCGAGTTGCGGAGGCGCAGTGAAAGCGACGTTGTAAGTGGCGTCAGGCACTTGTGCGCCGCAGCGAGGGTGAGGGGTGAGTGTCACCCCTCGTTCATGATTTTCGCCTCTGCCATTTGCATCTCCTGAGCTGCACTCCCTCAATGTAAAAAAGGCTCCCGGTATTTGTGTGGTCGTAACATGTGGCAGTAGGAATGATGACAAAGTTCTTTTATTTTTTTTTCGAAAAGCTCAAAATATGCTGACACAAGCTGACGACGTACTGTTCAATATTTATCTTCCAGTGGCGCATCGCTCTCCACAATGCAATGGCCTCCAGGACGTCCTGCTCTGATCTGTGCTGTCGAAAGCGGTAGTTGGGATTTGGTGGTGGCTGTGTTTGCTCTGCCGAATTGTGACATCGAATGCAAGGACGCTTTTGGCAGAACGCCAATCATCGTCGCGGCTCGCTGTGCACACGTCGGACTAATCGATATGCTTCTCAATAAAGGTACAATTACTGGTTATTTAAATGATCATAGCATATCCTCTATTACTCATTGACTTATTCACTGTTCAACATATTCGTCGGTTCTGAGGGCTGCCTTGCGAAGGTGCCACAACGGCGGCGTTGCCAGTGCCGTCGCAGCGCGGCATTCGCACAAGACCTAATTGATTAGACGTAGAATTGGCCCAGTATGCCGAGTAGGCCGGCTCGCAAGGAGGATCTTCCAACCGAAACTCATCCGACGCAGTTTTGCCATGATGTACTTCTGAGATTGTTAATTTTGATGAAAAAAAATGCATCATAGTGTCTGTTCAGTGCATATTGATGTTAATGGGCCACAGGCAGTGATAAAGTTGTTAAGGTGCTGATATCAATCAACGAGATGATTATGGTTGGACAGCTTTGACACATGCTGTCCATAAGAATCACTTACCGTCAGTACAACTCCTTCTCGACAGAAATGCTGAGATCACCGGTAAAGATAAGAGCGGTCAGTTCAGCTTTTAGTGATAACTTTTAATGAATGGCAATTAATATAGGTATAGTTCACGCCCTTCGCCGCTGCGGGCGACGTTTTACAGGCACATTTTACGCTGATTTTATGGGCGGAGACCGTCAACCATTATTGGCGCGCTCCTAATCCTCGCTGATTTGGAAGGAGGGCGCACAAGTGAAATTGCTGGTCGTCTTCCCCGTACAGTCGGCTCGGATTGATCCCTTAAATGATTGACTGTTCACGCCATGCCACGATCGCGCGCGTTTCGGATATACAAGGGCGTTTTGGGTTGCAGTACCATCAAGGCACGTTTTGCCACTGAAAAATTCTCGCACAATACGACCCCCTAACTTCGCTACTCTGATACGACCCTCTCCCCGTTCCCCATCCCATCTTCCACTTTTCTAGTTTCCCTGAATTACTACCACATTTCCGCAAATTCCGAACTTTCCTGAGAATTTTTCAGTTTTCTCGTTTTCCCCAAAATTTTACCGTCGACTGCTTCCCAAAATTTAACCGTCGAGCCTGTGAGGGGGGAGAGGAGTGGGTATACAGCAGCGCATTTTTATGAAACGAGAAAACTGCGAAATCAGCAGCCGGAAGAATTTTCTCTCGACGCGGCCAAGTCGACGACAAAATACGACTTTCCCCCCCTCCATGTGACACCTGAGAATGTTTTTGTGCATAGCTGTTTTCTATCTATGTATACTTTTAGAGCGGACTGCAACCCAGCGGTAGCAGCGTCAGAGACTTTCCGCGACGGCAGCGCTTCGGTCGCTGCGTTCGAACTCGATGAGGCAATTTGAAAGCATGCGAAAAAGCATCGATGCATGGAATGCAGACGCTTCGGTCGCCGGCGACACGACCGATTGCATGCGCATGCTTTCAAGCATCGATTGAGTGATACGCGTGACCGAAAGCGCTGCCGTCGCGAAGTCGGAACGAGCTGCCTAAAGAATGCAGAAATGTACATTTCCAATATAATTAAACTGGCACGCTGCCAAAAATCCTTCGGAGGTTTATCTTGAGAAAATTCATCATCACGAGCTAGTTGCGCCTTATCATGGTCTCTATTATTGCTCGCTCTGTATAAACCCCAATCTATTTTTCATTCACTATTTTCTGGCCTCTTTGATCGGCTGTTGTTCCCGTACGTGCACAGTTCGTTGCGGCGCAGACGATGTAGCGTTCAGACTTTGCGATGACGCGCGTCGACGCGCTGTGACGCATACAGTCTGATAGCCCCCTCCCCCACTCATCTATGCTCTCCAAATATACCTGCGGCCCGTTGATACCAGACTGTATGAAAGCGGCGTCTATTCTCCTACTTTTTCGCAATCTCTCAAAACAACGAACGCCCGGTGCCGATCGATACCCGACTGCGGCTGCGTTTCCTTCTATAGAACGTGAGCGTCATTGGAAGGCTAGCGCGCCGACACGCGTCATCGTGAAGTCTGAACGCTGCCAGAGGCAATGTTGTGCGTACTATCCTTCATCTCTGACCCAGTTGTCGCTTTGGACAACAAAGAAAAAACTTGAGAATCTAGTTTGATTTCTGAATCTCACAAATTTAGGTAAAACCTTGGCACACATTGCTTGCGCATCTGCATGTCGATCGATCGTCGATCGATTATTGGAGGAAGGACTGGTCATAGAGGAGCCTGATGTCGAATGGGCCCTTCGCCCCCTCCTTCCTCTATCCAATTCAAATAGCCATGGTGCATAAAAAATAAGCAGATTGGAGGCCGTTGCTTGCGAAGATCAGGGCATAGTCCATGTTGATCAGATGGGCGGAGACAGGCCTTCAGTTGTGTCGTTCTCATAGGTGCACTCCTCTTTTCTGAGTCGGTGAAAGAGTTGTGCCACTGAGCAAGAAACGATGTCAGCCTGACTCCGCCCATACATCCGGCGTGGACTGTGGACCTGAAACAAATACACTACTGAAATTATCACTCACTGATTCGTTTAGGGGAGCTCGACTACGATCCACCACTTGGCAGACTGCTATCGAATTCTATCCTGAAGCGCTTTTTGTTCTGTTCTCAAAGCTGATGGATGATGCCGGAATTCTTTTCAGGTCAGTATTCATCCTACCACTGCAAGAAACTCGGCGCAGTCGGCTTGGAAGGGCAGCGAAAGGTGCTTAGCAAAGATGTCAGGCCACCTTGTCAAGACCTGTAACTTTCTGCTAAGGGCTAGGCTCACTCGAATCATTTCACAGGAGTTTACAGGTCTCACCAAGTTCAAACTTGTTATTTCAACGTGAACAAACAAAAGGAGCTAGCGAAAGTCCGAAATGTCTCTCAAAGCCGAAAAAGAGCGCCAAAAGTTCTATCCTTTTCTGACCGTAGTCGGCTACGTTTTATTCGTTCCTAAACCAGAGGGTCGTTTCAGAGCGTCGGTGAAGCGCAACGAGCTCCTCCACTTCCTTCTACGTGTCCAGATATAGCGCGCAATAACAATATCTTTGACCGTCTTCTTCAGTATTCATTTTCAGGAAGAAACGCTTCGAAGACGCTATGCATCGGCTACATTATGCCTTGAATAAATGCGAGATGTGCAAGAAAGGATATGAACAATATTGCAAGGTTGGTCGTCCTTTTTTTCATCTTTTAATGACCCTTTATACGATAGCTTCAGCAGAGATATGGGCGGAGACACTCAACTGATGCGCCTTCGTCATTGGTGCGCCCCTCCTCTTTACCGTATTGAAAGAAGGAAGGCACCAATAAGGAAGACACACTAGTTACACTAGTTGGGCGTCTCCGCCCGTTTTTCCACCCATTCGACTGTAGCGCTACGTACCCTTGAATCCAACCTATTTCCTGTGCCAGTGCTAGGCTGAACTTCATATTTCTTTCTGAAACTGTCTAATAGGCGTGGAAGCAGTTATTGTTATCCTCATTTTCTTAATATTCAGATATGCAAAGCGGCATTCTGAAAGTTCGTCAGCAGATCATCATGTCGATAGCGCGGGTACTGCGACGACAGGGCAGAACACAGCAGGCTATCGACATCTGCGCCTCACTTGAGGCAAACGCATGTGAACAAATTCTCTTCGAGGTGAGCACAATCTTTCACTGGTTGACGGAGGAAGTGCATCAGCTTTCGTTCAATACAACCTTTCTCCCCCACCCCATCCTCAGCAGCGTCATTGGAGGAAGGGCTAAATGTGTGTGACCAAACGGCATCTCGCAACCCTTCCACCAGTGACGCGAGCAACAACCACCCACTTCCAGCAATTGCGCCAATTGCCTTTAATATAGACTCCTCACTTAAAACTAAAACACACTTCCTCTTAGGCTGCAATCATACTTTGCGACAGCGTCCACCAGCAACCAATAGCGTCCACCAAGTTCTAAGCGTCCGGCAGCGTGGGCGATAGGAAAGTATATAGATATCGCTCCTAGCGTCTTGCACCGTCCCTAGGCATGCGCCAGCGTCTACCAGCGTCCACCAGCCGTCTCGAGGGCTAGGGAAGTATAGGTATTGATCTAGCGTCTGCCAGCGTCTGCCAGCGTGCACCAGCGTCCGGGAGGAGAGAGTATGGCGCGATAGGAAAGTAGCAGACAGCTGGCTACCCTCCTATCGCCCCATACTCTCTACCAGCAGTCTGCCACCCTCCTATCTCCCCATACTCTACCAGCTGTCTGCTACCCTCCTATTGCGCCATACTCTCTGAGAGCGTCTGCTACCCTCCTACCTTCAAATATTTATCAGCTGTCTGCTACCCTCCTACCGCACCATCCTCTCCTCTCCCGTCGAGACGAGGGAGACGCGCTTGTAGACGCTGGCAACGCTAGTTCGATATCTGTACTTTCATAGTCGATTACGCTGCCGGACGCTCGGAACGCTGGTGGACGCTGCCGCAAAGTATGAAAGCAGCCTTACCCTCTCTCATATGGGACTCCCTTCGTAAGGATTCTTCGGGGATGACGTCGTCTGCCTAATCTTTGAAATTATCTTGCGCTTAGTGAGTTAGAATACACTTTTCAGTGCCACCTTCTCCGAGCCAAATGTCATTTTGACCTACAAGATATG